GGGGTCAAATAATGTAAGAAATGCCACAGAACTCAGAGTGCCTATTCCATGTGCTACTTCTTTTATTCTGTCTCTCAAACCAGCAGTCCTTGTCCTCTCAGAAGCTGCACAGTGGTGAGGATGAAACCCGGAGAAAAGCCCTTCCAAGCCCCTTCTAGGTACAACAAAACCAAAACTCCACAGGTGATTACCTTCTTGCTGCCTCCCAAGCTTTCATCAGCATCTCTTTACTCAAATTTCTGTCTATTCACAACAAAGGAGTTTATTTTATATAGAGGAGCGTGGGTACCCTATGGAGGAGTTGTGGGTACCTCACTAGAGAAGATTTGCTTTCTTTTAGGAAGATGCAAAACTACAGAAAACTTTCCACAAGGAATGTCCTTTTATATCTCCTATTATTTTACCAGCACTCCATGCTGATGGTTTGTGTAAGTTCCAGCTGATTTGTGTCAGGCTTGTTCCAGTTCTTTGATTCACCAGAACCAGTATCCAGTAACTGGATCTTCACAAAAACCTAATTTCTATAGTCTATCAGAGGTTTTTCAGTCTCTTACCAGCACCAACCATTTTTTTTGGCATTTCTCACCAACACTTTTGAAGCCACACTTCAAGCACCACAACCTGCATGAGAGTAGTTTCCCTTTTTTTCCCTTAAACTTCCCTTACTTTCTTCTATGTGACCCATGAAAACCTGTCCTTGTCTTGCACCTTTCCCAAATGGCAGGTGAAGTTTTTTGGAAGTCAGACACAAAACCTGTGACTAACATGGCTTCTGCCCCTGTAACCTTTCATCTTACTTTCTAAATGATTCAAATGAGTCAAGTATTTTTCTCCCAAAGACTTTCTATTACATATTCCTCAGACTTGTCATTAAGATCTATTTTAAACTACTTATTTCACAATATGGGATATTAAAATAATTTATAAAAGACTTAGAAAATCCTGTATTACTTATCTACTTATTCCAAAAAATCCTAAGTCTTCCTTTATTACTACTAAGGAGCAGAAATTGTGTTTTATTCCAGGTCACTATTCCAAAACCATGGGAACTAAACTTAGTGATTACAAAGTACAGTAAACATTCAGGCTTCCAGATGGTAATCAGTAAAAAGTCTTGACACTCTAATTTCTAAAGTCTGAGAAGCTTCATGTAAAAATCCACCTACTGGGATAGGATTAGCAGAACACATTAATGTTGTGACTTTGAAAAATATCTCCATGTTATTTTGTAACAATGGATTATCTTCAGTGAAATCCATCCCCAATCAACTAGTAAACTAATTATGTAAATTCTTGAAACTCATCAAGGTAAATACCAAAGGTCCCTAATGATGCAAATAGGAAAATACTTCTCTTTTGATTTCCTTGTGTAATTTTTTTTTTTGTTTCAGAAAGTAGTGCCATGAGGATTGCAAACCTAATTCTTTTTAAGTTACCACAGTATCTTTTGATCATTCAAGAATCTCTCCAAGTTAGATCTTACCATTTGGTGCCACTCTGTAGCTTCATTAAAACTAAAAAAACCAAACCCTTCTGTTATACTAAACTGTAATGCAGTTGTGATGATAGAGAGTATGATTCATGGTTATCCTCAGTTTGAGCTGCATCACTTTACAGAAAGATTGAAATAATTCATCCAGGCAAGATGAAAGGTATTTGAATTTATCTTGTTTGCTGGTTGACAGTTTTACAATATATATTGCAGTCCTATTTGCTTTATTACTTAATATTTCTCCTGGCAGTGTTAAAAAATGTCTCATTCTAAGTCTACATTAAAGACCTTCCTGTTAGCATTGTACCAGTGAGATTGTTATAAAATTGATTTAGTTTACAACAAGTTTAATGCTGGTGTGTGAGCACTGATTCAGCCCAGCATTCCCTTCTATTGACCCAGCTCAGACTGCAATAATTGGTAGCACAGAGCTGAAGCACAAGTGACAGAACATCCCTGCTGCAGCCCAGGCAGCTCCTATCCTAATCTAATCTAATCCACTCTATTCTATTCTAATTCTAATCAATTCTATTCAATTTGCATGTGTAGATGTATTCCAGCCCCCAAGAGCTTGTGCATGAGCCACAACAATGCAGGGAAATAGGCAAGAACCTCAGCAGGTGTCACATTTTGCTAGCTGGAGGCCAAGGCAGCTTTAACTCTGAGAATTATGCTGGGTGCTCCCTTTAGATTGAAGGGAAAGATACTTCTGCTAAAGAACTCAAAAGGTTATGCCCTTCTTGCTCAGGAAAGTTTAGGATCTTTTAAGATATTTTATCCAGGACATAATCACAGCATATAATAGAAAAAGCCCTCAGGTTCTTCTCAAGGTTGTGGATATTTGGTGGTGGTCAGGAATTCACTTTTACACTGCCTTTATTCTAAACTGAATTCACTTAAACAAAGATTTGGAGCTGCCTGTGATGAGTGAGGCTCCATTTCCTACAGGTATGGTCTAATATTTTCATAGGTGTAACACCACCTTCAAAGCCTGAGCTTTGATACTCAAATTACCAGTTTCTGTACAATCTGGAAAATCAGTGCTCTTTTGAATCTCTTAAATTTCATTGCTTCCTTTTAGTATTGTTTTCTCAAAGTCAGTGCTTGTAACAAAGTGTTTTTCCCTAAAAAATACGTTTGTGTTCAATCATTCCCAACTGGTTAATATATATTTAATATAACTGGTTAATATATATTTAGGAGTCTTTCAGTATGGACCATGTATCTGCTTTGGTGCCTTGGTGTAAATTTAAATAATTATCTGTAATGTGCAATAATATTATTACTAAACTGCAATACCACACAGAACTCTCAATTATCACATTAAATTTAGATTATATTATGCTAAGAGATATCTTTATGCCCCAGAGTAATTTTGCTTTTAAAACTCGTCTGTGTTTAAAATGATTTAAAAGAATATATGAGCCATTTTCATTAGGTGAGAACAATTATCTTGATTAACAATTGTTATGCACCAAAATGAACTCTTATTTTGGTAGTTTTGATTTTTGATGCCTGTTTTTGGATCTTAGCAAAGTTGTGTGAAATACATCACAAAACCTATATTTTCTTTGCAATAAAGGCAATTTAGTAACCTAATCAGACCCCCAGTACCAAAGGAAAAATAAATTAAAACAAGCCTGGAGAATAATTTTGTGCTACTGCTCAAGAGATTTCCAAAATTTCTACCAGTGTGCCAAAACTAGTCATCAACATGATCAGCTGCTGAGAGACAAAACTGGGTTTGCTGGTGGAACTCATAATTTACTTTTTCTTTGGCCATTGTTACACAGATACAGCCATAAGCAGATCCCAGGAGACAAGCTAGAATGCTCACCTTAGAAAGGCATTTCTAAAACCAAAAAGGCCCATTTAATTTAATTTACTGTACCAGAGTTCAGTATCTATTAACAGCTAAACATCCTCCTACTGTAGCTAAAAGCTTATGCCAATATTCTCTCTTTACAGGCCAAGCACCCAAAATTCCCCAAAGCAGAAAAATGTGAGCTAGAATTTACAGCAGAAAAAGGCACAGCACCTACTGATGTTTCCCAGGACAGTAATGCAGCAGTGTAGGAAAACAGCCCTTTTCCTCCTGCTCTGTTCACCTTTCTGCTTCATGGTACTCAACAGAAATGACCTCAGAGATGATGATGCCAATGCAGAATCAGTTAGACAAAATGGACCCATCAAATTTAAATTATATATAGAGATATTGTCATTATTCTTATCTCCCACTCCCCTTTTGATTCTTTTCAGTGACTTCTTAAGTGGATTTCCAGGCATTCATTGATTAATGAAGTAACAGACTCATAGATTACAGCCAGAAAAACAAACAAAATAATTATCCTACTTTCATTTTTTTTTCCAAATCAGGAGGCCAAAATCTCATCCAAAAGCATCAGTCTGAAAATAGAAATATTTAAAAGGCAGGAGGAATCCAAATTATTTGTATCCACTGTTGTGCCAGACATATAATGATGACACCTCTCAACTCTCTCAACATTACCAAGTAGACTTCATCATTTCTATCTCTCTATATTTATTTTTTTTTAATCCTTAGCATCTGTGAAAATAGGTCTTTCTTTAATTTGAATGCAGACCAAAATAAGTATTTCAGAGAATGTAAACAATCAGGAGGAATTGTTAACACAAAGCTCAGATTTCTGGTTTGTGCTATCCTGAGAGAAAAGCTGAATTTCTCACTTTAGCAGTCCCTGCCAGCCTAACTTCACTGATCAAGAGCTTTCTTCCCAAAACACCCAACTAATTAACTAAGAAGTGTGAGTGGAATTTTTTTGACCGAGGGAAATCCAAGGTTCACAGGCTCTGTGGCTGAAACTACACCCATTAACAGAGCCCAGCACAAGAGTGAAACAGCATCTAAATGTGGCTTTGAAAACTTGGTTTCTAACATTTTCCCTCTGCTATTTGTTAGTGAGTCTCACTCACAGCATCCAGTAATTATTTCTAAGTGACAGAAAACACTCATTGTTCCAACCCTTAAGAATTCCTTGCCAATTAGTGGTACTACCAACTCTGTGCAACAGGAGACACACTAAACTTTCTCTTGGAATTAATTTAAAACTGTTTCTGCTGGTGGATGCAATAATGAATTGGCATATATTTCATCCACGTGCAAGACTGGAAGAAGATTTCTACCTTGCATTACCAGGTAGAAATAAAAAGGAATGGACTGAAGCATGCTTCGATCAAGGGTATAAAAACAAGTAGCTTTTATTCTCTGGTACTTCAGGAAGAGTGTAGAAATTGTTTTTGAATAGGGAAATGATCCCATGACACCCTGTTTTCCTGTCTCTTGAGAAGTGCTTGTATTTCATGACACAGACAGCAAAAAAGAAGTGTAAAACAACTGTGTTAGAGCCAAATATACAAAATAAAAGACAAAAGAAATACACTCTATCTTCTGGGGCTGTGCACACATGTTGGTGTCCTGATGCCCACAGTAAAGCTTTCCCTAACCAGTTCTCTGTTTATTTCCTTGCAGGGGAGCAGCATCATCAGATCAGCTCAATACATAAGGAATGCGTGCCAATTTATTACTTAGAAGCCAGCTAACACATTTCATAAGGCAGACTACTCCTGTAATACTGCTTCTTCACAGTAATTAATCAGCAGCTTGCTCAATATAACAGCTTTGTCCTTATTTTTCTAATAAATGGCAAAGCAGCTCTCCCCATATAGCCTCCTGTTGCTAATTTAATTAACTGCAAGCATGTGACCAGTTTATCTTTAATAGTGCACACTTTTTCTTCAGAGGAATCCATCAATGCTTCCTATATTATTTTCCTGTCTAATTCCCCCTGCCCTTGCACTATCCATCAGGAACCAAATGCACTTTTTATTCCCCTTTCCCTGCAGTTCCAGAAGCTGTTATGGCACACAAAGGCAATCAGAAGTGACAGCCTGGCCTGCCCCAGAAACAGGACCGTGACTCACCACTGCACTCTCAACCTCCAGCATCTCATGCCTTCTACCAAGCATTTTCTGCCTGTGCATCTCCATAACTAATTAATTCTTAGCAGAGTGCTTACTAAGTAGATCAGGAAAGCGCTGTAGCTGCAGGCTGTATTTATGTTAATGAAGAAGTTTAGTCTCAGGCTGGGCAGCTTCTAACCTTTGCAACAGCAACATCTGAACACAGAATCAATGCTCATCAGAAATAACACCAAAATACATTTCCGTGTTTGCCACTTCATTCCTAAACAAGAAAACCCCATTCCCTTGGGAGGAAAGAGCTCACTGAGCCTTGGTAGAACTCACACCTCGGTGACATCCGAGCCCCCATTGCTCTGTCAGACACAAAAGGCTCCTGGAGATGCTGAGACACAGCCCAGGGCTATGGCTGTGAGAGGCCAGAACTGGCAATTAGAGATTTTCAGGTTAATCCATGATCTTTCCACTGCTGTGCTGCACGGCACCAGGCAGGTAATGACACCCACTATCTCTCTTGTTATTCATCTGCTAAGTGGGTATTATAGCACAGATATTCTCACTGGGCATAAAGGAACATTCTGAAAACTCTAGATGGTTTAAATACAGGTATTTAAGTGGCAGGCTAGATAAAACAAGATAAATTTCAGAGGCTGTAAAAAAATACTAGAAAGCACAAAGCTGAAATAAATTACTTGTCTAATTAAATTCCCTTCATGTAGCTTGAATTGCATACAGTGTTTATGAATAATATGTAGCAATTGAAAAAATTGACTTCTGCTTACATACTTAACAAGCAAAGTCTGAGTTTCCTAAAACAGCTCATTTACCCAATCAGATTTTGTGGTAATCACAAATGGTGGTTAATGTGATGTATCTGAGGCCTTATTACAGAGCCACCATGCCTCTATCAAAGTCTTGCCTTGTTTCTATCCCAGGCTTTTAATAAAATCATAACCATTGCCATCAGCAGTGTGTGAATATAAAAAGACTACTGGGTTATGCCATCACTTCCTGACAGTGCTAGGAAGGGTAGAATGAATTATGAAGCAACGTGAAGTCCAGTTAAACAATGTTAAATGCATAAGAAAAGCAAATGAAATTTTATAGGCTCTTGGTAGGAACTTAATAATTCACCCAAGAGCAGCAAAGATCCCACAGTCAGGTATACAAAATGTTTTAGAGGGAAAAGAAAATTACAGTACCTTATTAATCTCCAGTACTTTTAAGATATGTTTCATTCATCTAAGCATACAGCACCAAAATTATTTGGAGTTTTAATTAATATTAATTTCAGATATGCATCTTGGGAAAAAAAAAAATCTTTGCCAAGCCTTAATTAAAGATAACTTTATTCATGGCCCAGTTTTCATTACTTTAGAACTTGTGTTCATGATATTTAATGATAGTGAGGTAAAATTCAGGTGGAATAGCTTTCCCTTTAGCCTGGAGAAGAGGAAGATCCAGGGAGAGCTCAGAGCCCCTTGCAGAGCCTAAAGGGGCTCCAGGTGAGCTGCAGAGGAACTGGGGACAAGGGCTGCAGGGCCAGGAGGCAGGGAATGGCTGCCAGTGGCAGAGGGCAGGGCTGGATGGGATCTTGGGCAGGAATTGTTCCCTGGCAGGGTGGGCAGGCCCTGGCACAGGGTGCCCAGAGCAGCTGGGGCTGCCCCTGGATCCCTGGCAGTGCCCAAGGCCAGCTTGGACATTGGGGCTGGAGCACCTGGGACACTGGGAGCTGGCCCTGCCATGGCTGGGGTGGAATGGATGGGCTTTAAGGTCTCACTCAGCTCAAACCTTTTCATGAGTCTGTGGTTCCCCCACATTTGAAAGATACTTTGTGCATAATTTGTGAACACAGAATTAAGTTGCCCTGAATTACTCAAGTTTTGTTTCTCTGTCTGCTTTCCCCACATCCCTATTTCCTGTTACATCAATAAGACACAGCTCCTTGCATTTTTTATGCTTTGGTATCTGCACAAAGCTTGCATTAAGCTTGTGTTAGGTTGTGTGTATACAGGGAAACAATGGTGATGACCAGATAAAGCATTTAAATTTACTCTGAACTGCACATTTTTACTTCATACAGTCAGAGGAACAGAATCCCCACATAGGAAGAACAAAGAGAGTTCCAAGGCAGTATCAGAGGACAGGATATCTGCAGAGTTAACACCTATCCATCAGGAAAGCTGTTCATGAACATGAACTGCAAAGAAGTTGTTCTGTCAAAGGAATACTCAAAAGCAGTGTCTGCTCTGTAGTGCTGGAGGAGCAATCACAGCACAGACACACTGACAAGCTCGTGGGAGGTTTCACAGAATGAGCTGCAGTTCCCTCTTTTGACACCATATGACTGCAAAGTAAATTGTTTTATGCTTATGAAAAAATGATTCTTTTCTGTACTTCAGGGTGGGTTATTACTTTGGTTTTAAACCTACTTCCAACTTTTATCCTGGTACTCTGTTGTTTTGCATACCCTGAAGAATAAACACTGTAGAAGTCCTTGACTTCAAAAAAGGCATAATTTGTTCTGCTGGAGAATGTTTTCATCAAGCAGGAAAGACAAAAAACCTGCACACATTAGTATGACATTGTAACTACTTAAAAAATAAAAAAAAAAAAGTAGACCTGGGATGGTATTTAGTATTCCTAACAAGATACCAGCCCAATCTGGTATTATTAGATTGCCCTCTTTCTACATTAAAAGTAACTAATGGGTCAATTTTCTCTAGGTCTCACTATAGTGATACATGACAGGCTTTTTGCCCTGAAGCCAAGATCACAGAAATGCATAAAGAGCTTTTGATGAAATTAAAGTCTCTCCTTTAGGGGATCCACTGTTATTATTTTGCTATCATGAGTTTGAGATTTCCCATGCCCCTGCCTCTCAAATAATGATATTGCTGATATTTAAAAGCCTGCACTGAGATGGTAATTTATAGGAGAGGATGAGTTCAGTAGAAAAACACAGGTTTATAGTACTTGAATCCTTTGAAGCCAGTGAGAAGTACTAAAAACATATTGTGATTGCTTTGCCTTTGCCAAAACACACAATAAATTCTTTATGGAAAGGTTTCCTTCATCCAGTTCTGAACTGGAACTTAGTAAGGCTGTAATCCTAAAGCAGGGTTCCTACTCTTTTCCTTTGCAAGCTAACAACACTGATAGCTAATGAAGAGAACAAAGTGTGAGAACAGCAATATATGATAAAATGTGCCTTTTACAGGAAATTTTTGTATCAGCAGGTACTCTATAATGTCACTGTAATGTGATCAGTTTCACTGCATTCCTTTAGCTTCAAGTTCTTAAACACACCTTGGGTTTCCTTAGCAAATGACCAGAGAAAAGCTCTGGCTTCAAGACCAGGAAATCTCACTTAGATAATAACTGTATTTACAGCCAGACCTCTTGATACAGTAATTTCCTTTAAAAGGCACATTTTCTCATATGTTGCTGTTCTCACACATATATCTGCTCTCTGCATTATCTACCAGTGTTACAAGCAAACAAAGGAAAAATAATACAAACCTTACATTAAGATCTCTCATAGCTGTTCAGTCAAAAAACTCCCAGTGACTCAGTGCAGTGCTCATTGCAAACTAAACTGAGGTGCAGGGCTCTTTCCAGTTAAAAATATTCAGTGTACTGACCACAAGGCACCGTCACTAGAGCTCTCTGACAGTCATATCATGACCTGTAATATTTAGTGCCTTGAATCCACTGATTTTGATCACAGCTGAGTGCCATGGTGTACTCCTGGGTCTGGGCTGGGGTTTTTGCATGACTGTTCACTAAGTGAGGCGTTGCTAAAGGCATTATTGCATTATCACTACAAACCAATGCACATGGTGGCTTTCAGAGCCTGTTTTGTACCAGGCAGTTCTTACTACATTATCACATTACCCTCTTTCTTTTTAAGGGTAAGTAACAACTCTATTGCACAGGTTTCAGTAACTCACCCCTCTTACTGACCCCTAAGGCACTCAGAGCCTTTGATACCATTATTGCTACGTGGCAGGGCACTGCTTTAAATCATTTGAGAGAGAGGAATGCAATGAATCCTTTGGTACATGACACAGACCTGTGGTCAGGACGTTTCTCCATAATCTCACTCATCAGCCACATAGATCAAAATGCCCAAGTCTGAAAACTTTCTGACCACTGAGAGTCCCTTCTGAAAGAAGCACTTTCAGGTAAAGGGAAAGGTGCCCCAGATATTTTGATGACTCTGACTGTGACTGGCAGTTCCTGTGCAAGAATTTGTGAGGTTTGTTTTACACATGCTCAGTGCTAACTTTGACTGCTGTAAATCACCAAAGAAGGCACATGTAACTTCTGTGTCAATTCTACTATCAACACACGTTTTCTTTTGCAGCTATAAAGAGATGAAAACCACAGAATTTTAATATAAAAATGCATGTTTTTATTCAACCAGTAGATATTTTTGAGCACTGTCAGTTTTCATCCTGCTTACTAATTGACTGCTGTGTAAAGCCAAATACTCAGAGACCCTCAGGAGAATGCTAATGCATAAATGCACAGTAAATATTAATCAGAATGAAGATGAGTGGTAAATAGTTACTAACCAAGAAACAGCTAAAAAGCTTAAAAAATATTCACTGAATACAAATTCTGTTTTAAACTCTGCTATTTGTAATGAAATGCAATCCTATCAGACAATCAGCTTTTTACTACAGAGAAGCATTTTAAGCATGTGCCATCTACAAACCATCTCATCTTTTAAACACTTGAATGCATAAACAAATAGTTGCAAAGCAGCAAGATATCTCACCAGCAGCTAATTTATTGTATGACTTCATTCATCTCATGGTGAGTAATTCCCAAGTTATATTTCAATTTTAAAGTATCTGTGGATATTGTTACTGTCTCTTTTAGTTAAATCCTTCTTACTTTGCCATAATAAAGTAGTTCTAATTGCCTACTTGAGACAAGACTTGGCTTTACTAGGATTTATGGATGCAAGTTTGAGATTAAAATTACCCTTCCCAAGCAAACACCAGCAGCTAACAGCAATACAAATAGTTCTGCTCCACAGCAGCAGTAAGGAGTCTGGATCCAGAGCTCCCTTGTGTCTGCAGTATCCTGATGCACTGAGGAAAACAGAGCCACTTCTAAGTCCCTCTTTTCAGTCAGCTGGCAAATTTGTTTAAGCAGCCTGCGCTGAAGAGGCAGGGCAATCCTTATCCTAAAACAACAAGTGGAACCAGGAATCCTTCCACAGACTTTGTGGCCTTTGGATGCAGCCCTAAGGCAGAGAAAGGAGGATGCTTGAAGGGTTTATATCCTAATTAGAATGATCTCATGGACACTCAGGCAAACCTCCATGGTTCAATAGGAACAGTACCAAACTAAGTCCATCTAATAATTTCTGAGCAGTTCTATCTTTTAAATAATTTGACAATCAACTAGGCATCATTAACACAGACTGCATAATAGGCAAATGGGAATCTAATAAATTTCTCTGAATTCTGTATTACTGCCACTTGAAACTTTTTAAAATGGAAAATCTCAATGCAATTACAATATTCTCTCATCAGTATATTATTTTAAATTCAAACTGTGTGCTCCTGCAGAAAGTATTAAGAAATAAATGCTGTTCAAGGAACCACACCAGGCTTTTAGAATAATGAAGTATTTTTTTTTTACACTTATGAAAATTGACACAAAGCCTGTGACTGGCTGCTCTTACATTGACTGGAACATAAAGCCCTCAGTTTTGGGGTCATCATGCAAGGAAGCCAGCCTTGAGCAGAAAAGGGGAACACCAGTGTGGATATAACTCATTGTCTTCTGCTCTGATACATGGATGGAAACTGATACAGGACTGAAAAGAGCAGCATTTGTAGTGTAACACAGCTGTGAAACAAAACCAGGTGTCCTCCATGTTGCTTTGGAGAGTCTGCATTAATTTGTGAATCGATATTTGCACAAAGGAGTACATGCAAACAAATGCAGATGCAGAGTGAATAAAGAGAGCTGAAGGGATGTGCTGGGGATATGCCTTTCATACAGAGATCAAACCTGTTGTGTATGGGATGATACATTCAGGTATTTAAAATAAAACATTTGGAAAGGCGTCCCATGGTGAAGGCTTCTTTGAGAATTTCCCTTACAATATTTTCATTTTGAATGTCTCTGACTGGATTCAAGACAACCTCTAGGGTAGAACTGCTAGACAGAGGACACATGAATTCTTCCATGAGGCTCAGGTAAAGATAATATTCCTCCACAGACAACTAATCAACCTTTCATTTTCAAATGCCATGTAGGGAGTCCACCTTTCTGCCACTCTGTAGTTAATGCACATTCTCAATGCTCTTAGGGTCAGAAAATTTCCTTAGGAAACCTGGTAAAAGCTGGTCACAGACTGGTTCAGTCTCTAATAAAGCCTACTGGGAGAGGTCAAATGAAAGTAGACATTTGGAGATCATCAGGCTTACCCAACAGGAAGTGAAAAACAATCAAATGTCCACCTCTGAAAGAGGGAGATGTTCAAGCTCTGAAAAATTAAAAGTAAAAACCTACCAAAACAGAACAGAAATGCACCAAACTTTCTTCAGTCTAGTTCCATTTAGTCCTCAGGTATGACACATTCTCTGTGTATCACACTAACTTGAGAGTCAGCCCTAAGTTATTTTTATACTCACAAAAAATCTACCACTAAAATGATAATACCCTGGATGAGTAACATTTCAGTAATACCTCGGAATCAAATAAACAACTCATGCACTACCATATCCCTTAAGGTACAGCCAGACACTTCCTCTGCCAGTTCCCAGACAGCTCATGGAAAGCCAGCAGGTGTGACAAATGAGCTGGAGTTTTCTAGACTGTGCTTTACAACAGATGTATTTACACATATCACAATCTACTGGTGGGGATGGTGCATGCTACTGCCAAATGTTAGATGAAATGTTATCAAACAGAAGTCTCCCAACAAATCCCCATCATGCTGACTCTTGAGATCAGCCTGCCATGTGTAATTTTTCATGTTGTGGCATGTCCTCAATCAAGTATTATTTAAGCTATTGTTACTGTTTTAATTATCCTTCCCTTACTCGCCAGTACATGAGAAGTACATATTTTACATGAACAGAGAAGTTGCAGAATGCCTGTCTAGAGACCTGTGCCACTTAAATTTTTAAACTCCATCATAAGCTTATTTAATAATTAAATTTAAAAAAAACATAAATCAAAACCATAAATCTGATCCCACTTCTATTTTATACTGCTCTGCAAAGGGCTCTTCCCCTCAGGCAGCAGCAGAGGATTTTGTCTTGCCTGAGCAGCTGCTCTTTACCACAACACCTGGCACTCCTGGAGCAGATGGATGCCAAGAGGAGCCACCCAGTGCCCCCAGGTGTCGCCCCAGGTGTCCCTCGGGGGCTGTGGTGACACTGTGGCTTTAGACAGACCTTCCAGAGGAAAAGAAGGGGGCTCCTGGGGAAGTTGTCACTACAGAGGAGCTCACAGGGCTGGACCCTTTGCACCTCTACCA